CACACCAGATGGAAAACTCTACAGACTGTCGGTTCACACCCCATCACAAGCCAGCAAAACATCCACGAAACAAAGAAAGGTCTGTCACAGCCAAAAAATACACTCCAGACACGCCGCTGGCAATAGAGGCACAGCATGGCCGCCTAGTAATATATATATATATATACACTCCGTGAATGAAGGAGGGCTCCACCCAATTAGATAATTGCACAACAGCAAGCAAAATACTGAAAATCTTCTATCATGTGGGCCTATGGCCGACCCCACCCTCTTTTGGGGTTGGCCATACCCCCAACGGATTGAAAAGATTTCGGCGGGAAGCTTTCTTTGCACTGGCATGCCCAGTGTTAAGGAGAGGAGGGGAACAAAGATCTCCTTACTTTTTTTCGGGTCATACATGTAAAAAAAAAATACTGACCGTGGGATCACTCAAGAGTACTGCACGGCAGGATTGTGTCACTCAACTGCCACACAAACTCGTTTCTATGCTATCCCGTTGCTAGTGGGACCGTGCTCCACTAGGGGCTTCAAATTTGCTCTGACAACGTGGTTTTCACCTTTTTTTTTTTTTCTTTTTTTTTTGGAAATGGAATAGGTGTTTAATGTTTTTTTTTTTTTTTTTTTTGGCAAATTTTAATGTGTTTTTCAAAAATGTAAATTTCTAATTTGCAGATCCTCAGCATGAGCCGCGGAGGCGCTGAATCTCGATCGTTGATTGCAGACCTTCCCTTCGAGGTGAGTTGTCGTGAGCTCAAATCCACTGCTGGCTGCTTTTCAAGGTTTTACCTTTTTTTTTTTGTTTTGTTTACTCATTAATGAGAGTACCTGCGTTTTATTTTATTTTTTTATTTCCTTTCCAAAATCAAGTGCGACTCTTTGTGAGTCTTTATTGTTTTGTGACAATACCTACCACAGGTAGAAATGAATCCTGGCATTGTGTATGCTTGTCACATTCTTCTTTTTTTTTTTTTTCCTTTTTTTTTTCGATCGATTTCTCTCAGTTTTACTTCCATGTCTGAGGTCAAACTCAATTTATTTTTTATTTTTTTTCAACAAATGCATTCAATTTCATTCCGAAAACCCTAAGAAGAGGCCGGGGACCTCACAATTCAACCCGGAGTTATCCCGGCAGCATCAGCCGGTTTAGCTTAAGTCTTAGGGTGAGATCCCTCTGGCAAAGAGGATGGTAGTAAGTGTCTGAATGTGGACGTGTTCGAGGGCAGGTGCGAAAATTTGTGGTTCATCTTCTTTTCTGCATCTGTTTTGTGGAACACGTCCAGATTCAGAGACTTATTCCAACCCTCTTTGCCAGTGGGATCTGGCCCTTAGCCAGTACCATTCGTCTCTAGCCGTTTTCGAAAGACTCAAATTGAAATCAACACAAGACTTAGTTCAAAATATAAAATATAAAAGAAAATCAACACAAGCTCAAACGGAACGATTCCTTCTTTTTTTTTTTAATACCTGCCCAAGGCAAAAAGTTCATCAATAATCCGAGTCCGCAGGGGCAGTCGGTGAGTCGTGTTCTACCTCGATCACAGAGCCCCGCCACTGGGGCCAAGTCCCACTAGCAGCATCCAGTTTCCTCAACGCCTGAATCTGGACGTATTTGAGGAGATGTGCAGGAATAGCGTGTAGTTTCCTCAACCGCACATCTCCACAAACACATCCAGATTCAGGCGTTTGAGGAAACTCAGCGCTGCGAGTGGGACTTGCCTCCTGTTAATCAAGGGAATCATACAGAACTCAGTACTACCATACCGGCTATCCGTTGTTCCCCCGGAATAGAACGTACGGTCATTATAGCTGTATTTGGCTCCCCGTTCAGTCCAGATGCAACCAACATGACCGTACGGCGTACGTTCAATTCGGCGGAAGAAGGTAGGCCCCTCCAAAGAACAACCACACCCAAAACTGCCAGCCAGCTACATACCGAACTAAAGACCAATAGTACCAATACAACGAAGAAAAGAAGAAGAGGAAAATCCTACCAACTACTTCTACCAAAAAAAGCAGCTACGTACCCAACTCGGAACCAATACAACGAAGAAGACAGGAAGGAGAAAATCCTACCAGCTACTTTTTTTTTTCCCTTTTTTTTTTTAACAGAACAGACCATTCCATTATCTACTTCTGCCAAACAGAACGATTCTGATTCTTTTTTATTTATTCTGAATATTGTCAAAATCGCGAAGAACATTTTTGTTCACAGGAACGATCATCCATAAAACCCTTCATATATATATATCTGTTTGACGATATATATATTGTCAAACAGATATATATATATATATATATATATATACATCTGGTGTGGGTGAGTTATCTACTTTGATTTTGGTTAAGGTGGATTATCATTTACAGTGTAATCAGTGAGGGGATTCTGCAGACTGTTGAGGGTTCAGCCTCCTGATGAGTCGGTGAAACTCCGACGAAACAGTTTGTCACAGCCCCTCGTTTGTTGTAGCTCAATAGAATATAAGAATATAGAAAAATATTTTATATAACTTTAGCTAGAATAGAGAGTATTTGATATTATTATTCTATTTATTTATTCTTAATAATAATTAATTGGATATTGGTAAATTGAAAGAATATCAATAGAACATTTTAGATCCAAGAATTTCTCTATAGATATAAATCTATATCAATACTCGACCATTTGTTATTTCATTGTTATTTCATTTTCATTTTTACTTCTTTTATAACTTAAAAAATTATGAAAAAGACTTGCTAATAAAAAATTCTTKAGTTATTATACTTTGAAAGATTCAAATAATTGGAAAAATTATGGAAGTTAATATTCTTGCTTTCATTGCAACRGCACTTTTTATTATTATCCCAACAGCCTTTTTATTAATACTTTATGTAAAAACAGCTAGTCAAAGTGATTCATAGTCAATTCAACATGATCAATATGCAATGCACAAACCGTAGGCAGTTCCGGGCAGTTCTATTTGTGACGATATATAGGCAGAGTATATATATATATATATATCGTCACAAATAGAACTGCCGACGGTAAACCGTAGGCAGAGAGGGAGAAGAGGACAACAAACGAGGGGCTGTGACAAACTGTTTCGTCGGAGTTTCACCGACTCATCAGGAGGCTGAACCCTCAACAGTCTGTAGAATCCCCTCACTGATTACACTGTAAGTGATAATCCACCTTAACCAAAATCAAAGTAGACTATCACTCACCCACACCAGATGGAAAACTCTACAGRCTGTCGGTTCACACCCCATCACAAGCCAGCAAAACATCCACGAAACAAAGAAAGGTCTGTCACAGCCAAAAAATACACTCCAGACACGCYGCTGGCACTAGAGGCACAGCATGGCCGCCTAGTAATATATATATATATATATATCGTCAAATAGAACTGCCCGGTAAACCGTAGGCAGAGAGGGAGAAGAGGACAACAAACGAGGGGCTGTGACAAATATATATATATATATATATATATCTTCAAATAGATATATATATATATTCTATTTGGCGATATAGATATATATATATATATATATATATATATATATCAGCCTCCTGATGAGTAGGTAGGTGAAACTCCGAGGAAACAGTTTGTCACAGCCCCTCGTTTCTTGTCCTCTTCTCCCTCCCTCTCTGCCTACGGTTTTTTTTTGTTTTTTTTTTTAGACTCTGCCTACGGTTTACCGGGCAGCTGTGTTTGACAATACATATATATATATCGTCACAAACAGAACTGCCCGGTAAACCGTATGGTTTACCGGGCAGTTCTGTTTGCGACGATATATATATATATATATATATATATATGCGAAAAAAAGATGACCATCAAGGGGCCAGTTTACTGATGCCGTTCTTTTTTAGCGGATGTACAAAAAAAAAGATTTTCTTTTTAAACAAGAGATGACCATCAAGCGGCCAGTTCACCGACTCCGTCGTTTTTTGTGCTGATGTACACCGCCCCCTCCCCCACCTTGCCCCGCAAAGAAAAAAGAAGAGGATAGAAAGAACTTCAAAGAAGAGAGAACCATTACCTTGCCAGTTTACTGATGCCGTCATTTTCGTACTAACACAATGATAATAATATCATGGAGATGACCATCAAGTGGCGCGCTTCCTGATGCCGTCGTTTTTCTGTTGCGATAATGTTTTTTGGTGGGATTTTTTTTTTTTCCTGGGGGGTGGGGGGGGAAGAACTGGGTATCGTTTTTGTTCATCAGGGGCTAGCAACAAAAACGACAGCAGCACTTGCAGCGAGGGCAATGCAGCTTGGGTTTACAGGATCAGGACTGTTAAGTGGTGGCGCGCAAGCTGCAGCAGCTCAGGGTGGCTGTGGAATCACACATGATGAGTTGTTGCTGATCGAACAACACGTGGCCTCGATTATGAACGAGGACGTAGGGACGGCAATGCAGACTCTGCATGGAAAAGGGCTTTGCCTAGTGCCCCTCTCGGTAGCGACCGCAATTAACCTGGGTGCGATTCCACTGCGCGCGATGGGTGGAGGAGGGCCATCGACATCAGGGCCTTCAGGGCAGCCGCAGGCTGCTGCAGAAAGCCACGACCCAGCCTCTCTTCAGCCAGAGGTAGGCGGGTTGGGGATTCGTCCCAGCGGCGGGCTCAGCCGGTCGCAGCCGGGCGAGAGCGGTCGCAATAACGATACCAGCTCCAGCGACGAGGAGGGAGGAGAAGGGGTTGGTACTCTGTCGACGGGCAGCAAGAGGCTTTCTGCTGCTGCTGCTGCTATTGGCGGTGGGAGTACAGGGCTTGGGCCATCACCGTATCGGCCTGCAGGGGGGTCCACGAGCAGTGGTGGTGCTGCTGGTGCAGCAGGAGCGCTGGGGTATATCACTGCCGGCGGACCTGAGGGTTGTGGAGGAGCGGTCACGGGCCTGGGCATTCTGCCTGATACTCTGCATGCTTCACCAATACCTTCCAGCGCAGTCGTGGCAGACGCAGCCTTGATCCCATTGGGGGCAGGCTTCACTGAGCTCTCACAGATTGCAGGAGCCGTTCAGCGGCAGCATACTCCACAAATGCAGGCGACAGCACAGGTGCAGCCGCAGCCGGGACCACCACCACAACAGCAACCCCAGCAGCAGGATAAGGTACGGGTTTGTTTGTTTGATTGATTGATTGATTGATTGATTGATTGATTGATTGAGCGAGTGAGTGAGTGAGTGAGTGAGTGAGTGAGTGAGCGAGTGAATGAATGATTGATAGATTGATCGGTATTAGTAGGGTCTTTGGCCAACACCGGTGTGAGTGTGTGTATGTGCGAGTGGGTTTTGTGTGGCGTATGGAAGAGTGTTGGCCTTGGACACCAGTTACTCAATGGGTGTGGGGGAAGATGAAAAGGGATGGGTGTGGGGAAAAAGATGAAAAGGGATGGGTGTGGGGGAAGATGAAAAGGGATGGGTGTGGGGGAAGATGAAAAGGGAGACGCAGCTACTGCCAGTGGCAAAATGCTCGGTCTACGTGTGAGCCGTTCCCCCACCGGCAGCCCCAACCCTGCACCCTCAACCACTGGGGCGAAGGACAACTTGCAGGGGTCCCCTGTCTAGCCTTGGGAGTAGTGGTAGGTAGTGGAAGATGAATTGAGAGTAGAACAAAAGGGGGGAAATAAAAAGGGCAACGGCCTTGTGATATCTTCACCAATCTGACCAGCTCTAGGTAATTCAGAATGATCTTGTTCTCGGTGATTCATTCTCGGGTAATCTTGTTCTCTGTGATTCATTCGAGGGTAAGTTTCAAAAATAGCGCTTTCGCGGTAGTTTCACAGCAAACATAGTCACTGTGGCGGGGCTCGAGTTTCGTTGCAAAAGTTACCTTAAATTTACCTCAGAGTCTTTCCTTGCAGCTTTACAGGTCCCGGGCCAAGGTCCCACTTGCACGGATTAAGAGATTTCCGCCGTTGATCTTTGCAATCTACGGTCAGTATCTCTTAATTCGTGCAAGTGGGACCTAGCCCCCGGTAGTTTACATCCGTTCGGGGGGGGGCATGGTGATTTTCTCTCTGTATGTGCCTTGCCTTGCTCCATCTCACCACATGCACACAAAAAACAAAAAGTGGGGCGTGTATCTTCCCATGTTCTAGCTGAAGATTCGTTCTTATTTTAAACACATTTGGCGAGTGGTGGAGCCAGGGGGCCATCCTTGCAACCTTGCAATTTTAACGGATGTCATGAAGGAACCGACAGGGGTCTGTCCCACTAGCCGGGGTCAAGTCCCACTCCCGGTAGCAGCGTTGAGTAATCTGGACCTGCTTGTGGAGAGGTGCAGAAAATGGCGCTGAGTTTCCTCAACCGCACATCTCCACAAACACGTCCAGATTCAGGCGTTGAGGAAACTCAACGCTGCTAGTCGGACTTGGCCCCGGGGGGTTACCCTCGGTTTGGAGCAGGCACGGTTACCTAACCCTATCATCTCACAGCCCCACTGAAAAATCCCCCAGGAACAAAGTCTTTCGAAAGAAAAGAAAAGAAAAATAATAATAATAATAATAATAATAATAAATCCCCCAAGGGCGTGGGGGTGGGGAAACGAAAGAACTCGGTCTGAACAGCTCACGGCCCCACTGTGCCCGGGTTGAAAAAACGTGATTGCAGTCAGATGCATCCAGGCGGGGCCGTAATTGAGGCCAGATACATTTGGAAAAGTGTTCGACGTGTGAGGCTTTTTGAAATGTTTTCCTTTCGAGTCAGCAGCCCCCTTTTGTTTGTTGTCAGGGGCAAGGGTCTTTTTTTTTTTTTTTTTGTCAGGGGCAGGAATCTATCTAGTTCTTTCTGTACCAGGTTTTTTTTTGCAAAGCCAAAAAGTATCACCAACACCAGGACCACTACAATCACCACCATCGCTGTCGTCATCATCATCATCATTCATGCATTGTTCTATTTTTTTATTTTTTTATATTTATTATTTTCGATTTTTTTAAATATCTTTTACATTAATTGTCTTTATTCCAGCAATTTGAAATCCCTTGTTATTGGTGGTTGATGCCCTTTGGAACATGTGGATGCAGATGAGTTACAATGAGCTTGACCGGATGGTGCATCGGCCACCTTCAAAGGACTGAAAGTGATGCGGACACGATTTGCGAACCAGAGGTGGGGAGCAGGCTGGCGCGCACACACACGCACACACACACACACACACACACAGAGAGAGAGAGAGAGAGAGAGAGAGAGAGCAGGCTGGCGCGCACACACACGCACACACACACACACACACACACACAGAGAGAGAGAGAGAGAGAGAGAGAGAGAGAGAGAGAGAGAGAGAGAGAGAGAGAGAGAGAGAGAGAGAGATTCACTATGGTACTAGTGTGTAGTCCTGCTGCACAATAAGCTTGGCTTTGAGTGAGCGTGCTTCTGCATACTGTGCATTGGACCGCAATGCTGGATGCAGAACACTGATAATGAATGTATAGAAGCTATATTCCCGACGAGGTACAGCCAAAATGAGGGTGTGTTGTGTTGGGGGGAAAGACGGTAGCCCTGCCCCTAGCCCCCTCTCCAACTCACTCTTCTTCGTGAATGGTCGGCGAAATTGGGCCACGAGTCGTCGAGTCCTTCGGGGACGTCCGTTGAAATTGGAACGATACAGAGAACCTAGACACGATTATCATGGCCCGTGTGCATCCAAGGATGACACGTGTGCATAAATCGAGAAATGGTCCAATTTTTTTTCTATTTTTTCCCCTGCGTGTTTGGAGGGGAAAAAAGAAAAGAAATCGGGCCACAGCCCACAGGGAATGACGGACCACTCTCACCTATGGGCCTCGCTCCACTACTCACCTCATGCACAAAAGACAAACAAATATGGCGGTGCATCTTCCCGTCTTCTAGGCGAAGATTCATTCTCATTTTGCACATTTGGTGAGTAGTGGAGCGAGGCCCTATGTGTGCTGTGGTTCATAGTTTTGATCACAAATTTGTCTGACCGCATTTACGGCCGGATCTGGATGCATCTGGCCGCAATTACGTCCAGAAATAAGTCGAAAGGTCTTAGTGTGAGTATGACCTAAAAATGTCTTTGTTAAAGTTGGCGATTTGTAATTACTCCGAAACAATGGAATCCGATCCAAATGGAGGTGAACCTTCATATGAGATTTCCGTGAAAACTCGGCGCGTTGCACCTTATCTAATATCGTTTGAAAATTGAAATGCATCGATCTATGGTCTCTGCAATGATCTTCAGCGACCTTTCAAGCATTCTCACTAACCGAGATAGAACCCTGCCTCTTCTCCCAGTCTGCTCGTTGAATTTCCAATGGGACCACTTTCTTTGCCAAGACGATATAATTCGGAATGCATCTCCAACCGATTGTGGTCCCGATACGTTCAAAATTGTTGGATCAGCCCGAACGCATCCGGTTTAGATGCAGTCTAGATACATTCGAATTGTGGAGCAGTGGAGCGAGGCCCTTTCAATAAGGAGCTCCTAGCCTGTAGGAAGGGGTTCCACATGTGTCATGTACCAACTTTACAGTCCTGTAGAGCCGGCTCCAGAGATCTGCACCACCAGGAAAAGCATGTGGGCCCTCTGCGGTTGCTGGTCCACCAGTTGGTCCACCAGTTGGTCCACCAGTTGGTCCAGTTTTAGCACGAGTTCGAAACCGGCTGGCACCATAGCGCAAGCATTAGCTACCATCTTTGGACCTCTGTTAAGTTGATGTACCACCAACCGGACCAGGTCCGGTTGGCGCACCAATCGGTACAGTTCTCTGCTGACACCATCTGGCATAATTAAACCAGTTGACAGCTCCTGCATTAGTATTACGGTACTATTACCTGTACTGCAATGGCCGCTGTCTGTCTGTACTTGGACTGATTGAGGACGGCGGTGTGGTCCAGTTGATGGACCAACTGGTGGCACAGTTCGTGCACCGAATGTTGGGCAGGGGTTGCCAGTTGGTACCAACTGTAAAAAAGGGAATTAGGGCGTACTCACACTGGGACTTTTTCGAGCAATCTGTGGACGCGATTGTGTTCAGGTAGGTACCTCCAGCGGTGTTCCAACGAGTACCAACTAATGTCCGTTCCTGGAACAGATATGGGACCACGTGGCGTTCCTTCCTGGGGCTTGGAACCAGTGATGTCCGTTCTTGGAACCAGCGGGGGTGCCACTGGTGGTGTTCCTTCCTGGAACTTGGAACCAGTACCAGTGATGTCCGTTCCAGTGATGTCCGTTCCTGGAACTTGGAACCAGCGGTGGTGGTCCAGGAAGCCACTGTGGTGTTCCTGGTACCAATGCTGGACCAACTTACGTCAGAGCTGGGGCCCCCTAGTATTGGTGTTGCAGCCAGCACCACAGGTGTGATGCGGATGCGTTTGTCGCTCAGCCTGGGAAATGTCAATTGGAAATAATAACTATTAACCAACAAAGCTGGGGGATTTTACCTTGTTTTGTCGCTATTCAGCTTTGTCTGGGAGAGGCAGGCAGCTTCCATTTTGTTTTTGCTTTTTTTTTTTTTTTTCAAATCGAGACATTTTGTTATAACTTATAAGTTGGCCAATAGAGTACAGGATCAGTGACAGATACTAAGCTCAGGAAAACCAAAAAAACGAAAAAAAGAAAGAATTTCAAAGTGGGCATGTACAGATGGGAACGATCTCTTCCTGGACTCTTTGAGGGCATACTCACACTAGTACTTTCCTAAATGAATATGACGGCAATCACGGCCAGACCTGGTTGAACCTGACCGCGGTGGGGTCCACATCCACAGCTTAGTAGAAAAAGTCCTAGTGTGAGTATGCCCTGATTGGCAGTTTCGGTGTGTTGCTTGGCTGGTTCAGCCACCAGTCCGAGGAGGAGTGAGATTAGACACACACACACACACACACACACACACACACAGAGAGAGAGAGAGAGAGAGAGAGAGAGAGAGAGAGAGAGAGAGAGAGAGAGAGAGAGAGAGAGAGGGGCTGCTGGCATGTACAGATAGAAAAATCTCTTCCTCGACTCTCTGAGTGGTGTTGGGGGTCCGACTGCTCAGCCATCAGTTCGGGGTGGACTGAGATTAGACAGCGAGAGAGGCTGACATTCGACGCACGCAGCTTTCTCTCTTACCGTGCTTCTGATTGAGATCCATGCAAAAAGAGGCAAC